TATACAGGAACTTTAGGGTTATAATTTACTGTAAGCTGAACTTCAAATAGGAGACAATATTTTCACTGCTTTATCACTACCTGTTTCTGTAGTCTGTAAATAGAGTTGTTTCCTCAGAACTCCTCAATAGATCTGGATTAGGTTGGAGGCCCTCAAAGATGGAATGGGTACTGCCTAATACTTTTATTGAATGAGAAACTTTGTTTTTCTTCCTTCTGAATAGGCAGTTAGCATGCTGAATTTGTACTGAATCTCCCCACTAGTCAGATGGTGGGGAGGAGAGCCTATAGTACGAGTTTCAACTCTTTTTAAATTAAATCCTCCTCTGGTACTTCTTGCTTTGTTGCAGATGCATGGGATGCAGCTGATGTTAGTTGCTGAATTACTAGGAGACAGAGGGGCACCTCAGGACCCTTTTAACCTTCTCATTGTGACAGGCTTGTAGAATATACCCTCCCAATTCATATGATATAGCTGTAGGGTTTGTCCTTCCTATATCCACTCCTGTCACTTTCAGCTGGGGCTGTATCCAACCTTTAGTGATGCATGGACTTGAATGTGAGCTATTATTTAATTATTTAATATAAGAGTTAGGCTGTAAGAGTTGCTGCAAAATATTTTAGCACATTTTTCCAAGGTAGACAGGAGCCTTCTGTGAAATGGATGTTTGTTTTTTAATTCCCTTGTGCTGAAGTTTGATATTCATCAGCAGAGGTATGGAAACACTTCTGAGCACTTGCTACCACCTCGAATTTGTCCTCACACAAGCCTGTGTAGATGGATGGGGAACCAGGTCAGAATAACCTTGTAAAATTTGAGTATTTTTGCTAAGCGTACTTTACTAAGTGTTACATAACTTGTATGTGCAGTTTTTACTCTTCCCCTTGCAGCCTTATTGTTGACTTTGACTAAGAACGCATCTGAATACAAATTTAGTCTTTCTATTCACCAGTTGGGCCCGTCTTAAGCTTAGAGGTCTTTTATTCTAGAGGACATAGTTGCAATAGAAGCACGTTACATTAATTACTTTTATTAGCCACCCCTACCAGCTTTAAAAGTGTGACCTCGGACCACTTTTTAAAAGATATAATGGAGGAAAAACTCCTCTGTATATTTGGCTTCCATTTACATACACATTGTAGTGACTCTGAAAATAAAATGGTATGTGGGCTTTCCTGTAAAATGAAAGTTTGTAATAAATTTCTCCCAACCTGAAAAGCTGCCACATGCTTTCACTTGATAAAATTTTTTTGGCTCTGAGTCTGAATAAAATTTCACAGCCCAATATATTATGCTTAAGTGTGTTATCAAACAAATTATCTTATTCTTGCCAGGAGCTGAAATCTTTCAACTACGTAAACATCTGTTTATTAACTGCAAACTCCTTACTGAATATTACCTTCACACTGGTTTACTCTCACCAATGATCTTGAAAAAGAATTTCCAAGAGAGACTTGGCAAGATTACTTGTCTGTAATATATGCAGCATTCCTGAAATTCTTGGCACATTACCCTTGAATCAATTAAAACAAAAGTACTTTGCTGTTGCTGGGGGTTTTTTTAACCGTTTATAGTTTCACTGTTGAAATGCCTTTATTCTCTACCACAGACATCTTGCTATAATGTAACTGAAATAGTTTAAAAGTAAATGAGGTGTCTCCTTTGCTGTTTAATGAATTGTAGTAATCCTTCAGCAAGGCATACACCTTTACTGGGGAGCAGTTTTCCACTTTCTCCTATATTCAGGCCACAACATGACTGTAGCTGAAGCTGACAATGCAGAGAAGTGGAGTCTTTGTCCTATAGCAGACATACTAACAAGGCATTTTGCCTGCCACAGCTAAGACTTCCAATAGTAACTTGCTTCACAGCATATTCCAATTATAGAGCACAATCTCCTTGGCCATGTTTCTTGGCTGTCTATTCCAGGCAACATGAAACTAGATCTTTACTTCACAAAATGTCTCTGGAAATGTGAAGCTTACGGTAGATAGAATAGAGGCACTTGTGAGAGCTTCCACTTTAGTAGTGAAGCTTTTACTGGAATAGTCAGCTTCGAAAACAGTCACTGAGGGTGAAACAAACAGCTGAATAGCTCTGTGTGTCCTAAATAAAGGGAGGAAAAACCTCGCTGAAAACTGTGCAATTAATATTTGTAACTATTTCAAAATAGTGCAGCTGAAGGAAGAGAATGGCAGGTGAGTAGTGAGTATGTGGGAGAGATAGAAGGTATTGAGAAGGAAAGTACAGAAGATGAAATGCAGGTTTGAGATAACAGTGAGTGTTACGGATATATGAAACCCGATTTTCTTGAATGCTCTGAGAGTGTATGTTCACAACAGTTCAAAACTGATTTAAGGTTGGAACTCCCTTAGTCCTGCCACTGCTTCACACTGCCTTCCTACACTAGTTCTGGGAGTTCCGCAGTAATGCTTCTTGTGAGGTAGGCTTTCTTCTCAGCTGGGTTACCACGAGATGACAGTGTCTGGGCCTGTGCAGAACTGATTGCCAGGAAAAGGACAATTGCCAAAGCTTGATTTTGTTAGCTGAAAGTGGTGTGGTGCTGCACCCCTCCTCTGAACATAGAATGTTGGTAGGGATGCTACTTAGGGGTGGAATGAGAGGGTTAAATTTAAGTGTTTTAAAAATCAGTGAAATATAATTTGATTGCCATAAACCAAAGTTCCTTAATTAGCATAATTGTACAGTGTCAAGACAGGGCTGAGCTAAGGTAATTTGAAAATGTAGCTATGTTTTTTACACCTTAACATGCTCAGAATTATAAAATGAAATGCGTACTTATTTCCTCTGGGAAGACTGTATAATTTTCTTCTTTTAAACTTGAACTGATTTTATATACATACACACACACACATATATATATATAAGCATTCGAACTTTAAGTGGAATTGCCATGGATTTTCCTTTGGAGAACTCTATTTGGAGATGAGGTGATTGCTTCTATCAGCTATCAGTTGAAGAGCATGGATGGAAAGGATTTGGGGAGGAAATATACAACACAGGCTTTACAAATGAGGGGCCATTTAAACTGTGTAAATGAGAAGTTCCAGTATCATCCCTCCTCTGTCCTGGCTCCAATCATACAAGTACTCTGTATAGGACTGTAAAAGCACTGGTGAGTTTTTGACTTGCAGATGAAAGACAACAAATAATGAGATTAAATCAAATAAAAGTCTGTCTTACCAGAAACTAATTTTTTTCTTCTGTAAATGCTAAATTATGCTCAGCGTATTGAGGGCAGCTTGAATTATAACTAAAGTAAGCAAACAGTTGAGAAGCCTGTTTTGACAGAAGAATCACGTATTAACCTTTTCTGTCCCAAACTGAAGTGCTGTAGAAAGCTCTGTCCATATTAAAATGCTGTTGATGTTATGATTCAGAAAAATGCCTCTGGTTATAATGTATAAATAAATTCTCATTAATAAAATTTGCAGTAGATTTCATGACCATTACTCAACACTGACAGACTTTAAACAAATGCATCTTTAAAAGGATACTTCAAAAGAATCTGTAATGTCACTTCAGAGCAACAAGTATTTCAAGGGCTGTTATGGTCTGAAAAGTGACTTCACCACAATTCTGTGTAAAGGATCTTCAATCTGCGAACCATGCAGTTATAGATATTTTTGTCATGTTTAAAATACATTTTACTGCTTCTGGTAGTGCTGTAGCATAAGGGAGTTGTTGAGATGAAGCTGAATTGAGATCCTGAAGACTAAACCAAACTTGAAGTTCAGCTTGCATATAAACATGCTGCAGCTTAAGGCTTATCTGTTTAATGCCATTAGACTGAATTCTCCCTTCTTTAATTCCAACTGATTGATGGTACTACCTGGAATGTAATGTATTTATTACTTTTTCATTTTCCCAAGCTTTCCAGAGGCCCAGAATTAATTCTTTTCTGAAAAAATAGAAAGGCAGCTAAAAGCAGCCTTTCTCGATTCATACAGAAACTATGTATGCATTTTTACAGCTGCCTATTAAAAAAAAAACAAAACAAAACAAGTAAACAAACCCAAACAAACAATTTCTTTAATCAAATTACTAGTTTTCAGCCCTGAAGGCCCAAGAGGTCAGAAAAAGTGCTGAAAGCAGCAGTACCTATTCACGCACCCCATACCTGTTCCACTCTCTTGGCTGTGCCAGAATAACCACTTCTGATTTAGTTAGAGAAGTCTGTATCCACTGATCTGCTGGGTTATTCCAGACATGAATCAGTTCTCACATGAACTTAGGTGTGGGTCAGTTTGGGGTTGTGTGTCTGAGATAACCCAGTGGCTGTCCCTACTGACAGCCACTCACAGAAGGCAAAGTCTGACTTGGCCATCAACAGAAGGCAAATTTTGAGACTTCTGTGGGGAAAAGGATGGGGAGGGAATGGGGGGGTGGAGGTGGTGTGGCAGGAATTCTTTTTGGTTGCTGCAGAACACTGAGGTAGTACTGTGAGGCATTTAAACCTGACAAGAGATGGAGAAAGCCTAGGGTGGGGAGGCTGCTTAAGCTGTCATTGAATGCTCTTGTGTCCTGAATGCAAAGCTATTTCCAGAAGGTTTTCTTGTTTTTATGAAGCATTTTCAGGTCTGTGAACTAGAAAGAGAAAACAGTGATGTAACAACCACTAAAGTGTTCAGTCTTTTCCCCCCCAAAACCCATCAGTATTGCATATCATTCCAAGTACTATTTTTTAAAAAAGAGAATCTAACTGAAGTTTAAGGACTGTTTGGCCATTTCTAATTGAATTTTTGTATGTTTTTCTGATTTGTATATGTATTTTCACTGAAATTATTCTGTTAGGACTAGACATGTTTGCTCATTGGAGAGGAGTATTTTATTGCAAGACTTTTTTTCAAGATTAAAAAATGTAACCCAAATATTATTTTAATTTGTGAGTACAACTGGCTACAACAGGTTACGGTAAGCAAAACATTTTTTAATTTCAGACTTATCTCTGCAATCATATCCTCATAATGTTCTTTGGTTTGCCAAATAATGCCTTTGCCACAAACTTTTATGAGGCTTCCTGAAGATATTAGGCTATACTAATACCCTCGTGGATAAAGCTCATAATAAGGACAAGATTTTCAAAGAAACAATATTTAGTAGCAGATGGAAATAAAATACTTTGAGCATTGTTTATTAAACAGACACTGTTTGCAGTTGTAGAGTATGGCAGAAACAGTGATATAATTTTCAAGGATGGATATAGTCCTGGTATAATGCTGAAGAGGTGCTTCCCAGCTGCCTGGCAGCACCACGGGCATGTAAGACTGACAGATGTATGCAAATGTGAAAGAGATTAAGCCCCAGAGATGAAGCTTTTTTAGTTGTTGTTACAGAGTAGGACTTGCTTTTGACTTTATTCTCTTCTTTTGAGACACATGAACACAGGATGAACACAGACTTTGTCACGGATATTTAGGTCTCAGTTGTGAACAAGCTCAATAATGTTCAGGAACTCCCAATCTTCTCCCCAGACGTTTTCACAGTGTAAAGGAGTCCAAACCTGTTATAAATGTTAACAGTATTAGGACCTACAGGCTTTGTTTTTTCCTTTATGGAAATATTTACATAAGTTTTTCACATTTAGTGGTAACATATGACATTGAAAGCAAGAGCTACCTGTTTTAACCAAGTAACTAAATGTTTTTCTTAATGCATTGGGCATCAGTTTTGTGTTGAAATTGTGGCATTATAACTAGCATTATGAGTATCTCAGCATGGTTCTTTGCTTGCCTTACACACAAGTTAACAGAAGCACTGTTTTGGAGGAGACTCACTCCTGCAATGACAGTGCTACCTGGGACACTTCATGGAGTAACCAGGGAGATATTCAAGTAACATGGCAACTCTATGGGACGGGTCAGAAATTATGTATTAGGTATTCCCAAACAATTAACCTATCTGCTGTCATCTAAATTTTGCGAATGCAAATATCTGGAGCCTCTACTTAAAGTCAGCACTTCTAACTCTTCTTTACCTCTCAAAATATATTGAAAAATCTATATTGCATTAGCATTCAAAGTTACCTTCAAGAGCTTCAAAAGAAGCAAGGATGCTCTTTAACTTCCCCGTTTAGCTCAGGAATTCAAGAGGCATGCTGTTATGGGTTGTGAGATTTAGCTGAAATGTTAAAAATTTAGTTCTGTTAAATGCTGCTTATGAACTGTCAAAGACTGAGTTTGGTTTCTTCTGCTGCTGAAGAAAAACAAACCCAAAGTGCCAGGTTGTTAATCATGAGATGTTAATGCAAGTGCATTTCTAGGACCATGTTGTCATGCTCCTTTAGAAATGGTGTGTAAAACCTACAATTAGCATGTCTTCATTAGATTTTGACCTTGAAAGTTGAAAGGCATTTTGTTCTTACTAGTGCTATGCATCATACCTTCAATTAAAATTTATTGTATTGGTGGAGGTTGCTTTTATTTGAAAACTTCCCTAGCCTTAGAGCTCAGCACTTGTACTAGAGTTTCAGGTAATATTCCCGTGGTGTCTAGATAAGCATAATTGAATTGGTAAAGCATATTTTCCCCCTCAGAATTCAAATAGTGATTAGGGTTGGTCATTTTATGATTGGCAGCTAAAACCTAGTTCGTTTAAATCTTAAACCTGAAGTGTTTAAGATTTTTTATTCAGTTGATTTTTTTTTCATTTTGCTAACATTTATAAGAAAAGGATAATTTGGTGATGCAAAACCAACTGGACTACCAGCCTAGTCTAGCTGTACTGTAACTCCAATAGCGGCTACTTAAGGCCTTTAAACTGAGACAGGGGAGATTCAGACTGGATATTAGAAAAATTTTTTTCACTGTTGTGGTGGTCAGGCACTGGAATATGTTGCCCAGGGTGGAGGTGTTTAGGAGGCATCTGGATCTGGTGCTGGGTGTTATGATTTTGTGGTTTAGGGGTTACAGTGGCAGTGCTGGGTGGACAGTTGGGCTGGATGATCTTAAAGGTCTCTTCCAGCCTCGATGATTCTACGATTCTACTCCAGGTACGTGACACACGTTTTCATGGCAGCAGAGCAGCACTGTGGCGAGCGGGCGCTACGGGATTGTTTTCCCACGCCAGGAGGGCCAGGCTTGGCTCCCAGCGCTGGCGCAGAGCCCGGCGGGCCGAGGGCACGGCCGGACCCCTCAGCACAGCCCGATGCTCCTCACCCCCCGCGCCGGCCGCTCAACGCCGCTCACCGCCCCGCCTCCCTCGCGGTGCCGTGCGGCTCCTGCCCGGGCAGGGAGGCGAGGCGGGCAGCGAGGTGGGCACCAAGGCGGGAGAGGTGGGCACCGAGGCGGGAGAGGCGGGCACGGGCGGGGCGGCCGCAGGGGCCGGGGCGTTCAAACGCTTTTATTTTTCAACCGCAGCGCGGCGAGGCCCCGCAGCCTGAGGGGCTTCCCTGGGCTGTGGGTGAAGCCGCTCCGCCATGCGGGGAACACAGAACAGCCGCCACCCCTCCGCTGCCGGCGGACAGCGGGCGACCCCGGCGGGGCTGCGGAGCTCGGCTGTGCGTGGGCCCCGCCCGCCCTTCCGCCGCCGCGCCCCGCCCCGTCCGCCGCCTCTGCCCGGCCCCCGCCGCCCGCGGAAGTGAGCGGAGCGGGGATGCGGCCGTGCCGCCCCGGGGCTCCGAGGTGAGAGGCGCGGCCAGGCGGCGCGGACGGGGCGGTGGCCGTGCAGGAGCTGCCGCTTGCGCCTCTCTCCGTTCCTACACGTCGCCTCCACCGCGCTGCCCGCTGCCGCCTGCTCTACAGGGCGGGCGGGGCCGGGGCGGCCGAGGGGGCTGCGGGGCGGGGGTCGCTTCGGAGAGCCGCCGCTTTCCTTCGCCGCTTCCTTCCTTCCCGCCTGGCGCTGAGGGTGCGGGCAGAGCGGGGAAGGGGGGGTTACTTGGGGTGAGGGTTTATTTTTAGGTGCGAACGCCCCTCCCCGGGCGGGACGAGGCTGTTGAAGGCGCTGGTGGCGAGGGGGAAGCGGCGGCGCTGCTCCGCCGTGGTGCTGTAGCTGCTAGGCGACTAATCCTAATCCTCATCCTCGGTGGTCTCTGACAGCTCTGCGGGCTCGCTGCGTGTGCCTGTGCTGCTCCGCGCTGGCAGCCCATTGGGCTCGGCTCTGGTGTTCTATTTTTTAAATTTTATTTTGTTTTTTTTTACCATTTTTTTCCTCTTTTAGCGTTGGTTTCTCTTGCAGATGTTGCTGCAGGTGGGGGCAAAGGGAGCACTGTGATTGCCTGGGATTTTGGGGCATTTCTCTCTTCACCTTTCCGCTCCCGCTCCAGCGCTGCTGTTGCTAAAGACTTTTGTAACTATCGACTCAAGTACAATTTCGATGGAAAATGAAGGTAAAGGTCTCATCAGAGTCACTGACTTCATTGGAGCTAAGAGGATTTTTGCATGCAATTTGGTGACAACTCCTACTGGTGCGTGTGTATGTTTTACCGTTCCAGGGGTTTGCAGGGTTGCTCTTGTGTGCCAATCTTGTGGTAGGAATTTTGGTCTGCATTTTGTAGTTTAAGAATTGCAGGAGCATCGCTTTTCTTTATTTGTTCTCCTGCTTTTTGAACTAATTATCAGACAAATTTTATTCTCGTGTAACAGATATTCAGATATGCATCTATTGTGCATTTTAGTGCTCTATGCATTACCGTACCCTGTGCGTTTGGAATAGGAACATTTTATTTAGATAGGAGCTTCTGAGCATTAGTTGCTTGGTATTTTCTTATATTATATGATTTTCTTAAATTTATGTTTCAGGGTGAAACTGAGAAGCATTGGTTGCATTTTGTGTTGAATGTATTTTTGTGTTCTTTAAAATGACTGAAATTTGCTCTCTTGGACAGTATTTAATTAAAAAGGTGGTTCTAAAGTTTTGAAAGATGTGGTATGATGTTGTAAACTATGTACTGAAATAAGTTGCTCTATTATGCTTTCTTCTTCTTGTCTAGTTTGGAAATGACTGAACCTGAGGACTTATTTTAGTTTGTTCATGTCGGCCCTCAGTTTTATGCTCTGGGAACCTTAAAAGCCTCTTTGGATTGTGATAGTGACTTTGAGCTTCATTGCATTTTTTTTTTTTATTATTTTTTTTTCCTGATTTTTGTTTGTTTCCCTTTCTGTTTGATGCTGGTTGTTGAAAATCCCTGAAATGTATTGTTTTTATTACTATATATGTAAGAAAAGAACCACTGATTCCCCCTCTTCCTTATGTTATCTCAATTCTTAGAAGATAGATGGGTTTTTTTAGGTGGCTACTGAATTTCCTTTGCTAGAGGTAGTTACATGAGATGTAGGTGCTCCTTTTCCACCCACCCCAGTCTGAAGAGAGAGGGATGCTTTTTTAATAGCTTGACTTGAATGAAGAACTGAATTGAGTTTGTGGGGTAGACTGAATTATTTTCTACGGTTGGATATTGTTCTGTTTGGAAGCATGGTTGCCTCGGATGACTGAAAGGTTGTGGTAATTGTGAAGTCCAACCCATGTTGAAAACTTATGTAAGTTGTTATCATCTGGCGTTTCAGAACTTTTTTCCTATTTTAAAATCATGTTAGAATATTTTAAATTCTGTTGATCATGTCTTCCAACTGAATATTTGTAATAAAGAGCATGGAACTTAGTAGAAAGAATTTTGGAGTGTGGGGACCATCTCTGGAAAGTTGGTCTTTGTTTATAGAGGCTGGAGAGCTGATAGAAGTGGTGTCAATGCCTTTGCTTTTCAGTCACTGTGTTGCAAGTAAAAGGGTTTTGAATGGGCAGTGCTGTAGGTGGAGGAAGGCAGGTGGGTGTACCACCAGTGAATAGAATTACACCTGGGAGGGGGGAAAAAAAGTAGCTGTCTGATACCTGTGTACCGAAACCAAAATGGCAGAAAGACTTTTAATGCCTCATAATTCGGTTACCAAATAAAGAGTATATCATAGATGTAGTTTATAGTCAAGTTGCATGTGATAGTATGGCCCATTCTAATTCTTCCAAATGCTAGTAGCACAAAGATGGTATTTCTCATGGAATAAATAAATTATGCATAAACATTAGTAATAATTGTATGATAGAAATCACATAAAAAAGCTTTATCTGGGGGGAAAATACTTTACAAGATGATCAGATGCATATTTCAAATGCAGGAAAAAAGGCTATGGTTTATCGAGGGCTTTCAAAACAGGGTAGGCTTCTGGGGGTAGGAGAAAATAACGATAAGAAGAATGAACTGGTCCTCTGAATACATGAATTAATTCTCTAATCTTTCCACCCCCACACCCTCCTCATCTCATAATTATTTGAGTCTCGGGAGGGACACATATATTTACAACTGTGTAGTGTCTATTTTGGTGTTCTTGGTATTTTTGAGCCCTTCTTTTTCTATCCATTTGGCATTTTGGACACTACACACTAGCAGCTTTCATGTTGGAACTTTTCAGAACTCTTGAGAGCATCCTTAATGTATCTTCTCCTGGCGATAGTTGAATAATCTTTGTAATCGTGTAGAACAAAGATTGCCATTAGACTATTTTTAAACTTTTTTTTCCCAAGTTTGTTTGAAAGGTCTCTTTAGGTTTGGGTATTGAGCAAGAAATGACAGACTTTTTTTCCCCTCCTGTATTTGAATGAATATTCAAGATTGGGAAGTGATAAGATGGTTTGGAAAACTGATGTTTTCCTGTGTTCATTTAGTACTCCTAAGTGGTACTGTCTGTTTACTCCAAGTTAGTGTTTTGTCCTGAGACTTTGTGGTTCCTGTTTCTTATGTGGGGTTGATTGAACTTCCGCAAGAATTCATGTTTCTCATGGTGGGCAAGAGAGAATTTTCCATCATAGGAAGACTTCTGCTTAATCATATGATTTAGAGGAATGATGTTTTTATTTCTGTTTGGAAAGATGGAATTTTGTGCCTTCTTTTCATAAGAGGTGCTTTTTCTTAAACTATAGGCAGTCAGGAGAACCTGGATAGACAAAACATAACTGAATGTAAACTAAGCTTTTTGGATCTCTCCATTGATGCCTCTGGGCCATTTGAAGTAGTTTTCCATAGTGTGGTCTGAAATTTTTTCCTTTCTTTTATCAATGTCTTTTAGGTTGTGATTTAGGGTTTTCTAATGAAGATTGTCTTGTAGAAGACTGCCTTTTAGTAGAAAAATGACAAAGTTTAGGTTTCATAGACTTTGAGCTTCTTTGAGGTCAGACTATAATTACAAATATAAGTTGTTAAATATGAGTACTGTTCTGTTATCCAGGCCTTATGTAGTATTTATTTTTATATAATTAAGTGCCCAACAGAAGAGGTCGGAGTAATGTTTTTTCGCCTGTAAACCAAAAAGATTTTCCGCAAATCATGTAGAAGGTTGGTACAGAAACTCAGACCAGAATTGCTCAATGTGATAAAAACATCATGTGATGATTCAGAAATCCTCCTAAATCCTCATTGTTTGGAGTCCTAGTTAATTTTAGCTAATCTTCAAAGATGACTGTTAACTTCAGCCTATAGTCTGTCTACATCCTGTAGTAATTTCAGGATAATTTTGATAATTGGATGAGTAGGGAGATATAAGTGAAGAATGTTTTATTTCTTTGAAAAGTATCCTGAGAGGACAAATTTTTGTTTGTCTCGTGCTTAAAGTGCAGTTGAATTTTCCAATGAGTTTCATGGGTGGGTTTGGTGGCTTTTTTTAAATGATGAGAATGGGCTTAGTTGCTAAACTGACAGATTGAAGATCAGTGAATAGATTTTGGGTTTTGGGGGCAGTGAGTTAGCAGCGTAGACTTAGGTCATCATGGATTAGGCAGCCTTACTAAGGAAGGGGTGGAGCATGTGTACATGGGACTGACAACAGAGGGGGAAGGGATGCCTGAGGCAGCGGTGACTTAAACAAATTAAATAGTTCCAGAGTGGCATCATCAGTAGTTCATTAAATAATATCCAAAATAATGAGAATGAAATTTGTGATGAAAACTGTTAGAAATTCTGAAATGGATTTGGTGTTATCACAGCAGTTCAAGTTCCTTTTGGCATGTAGATAATTTCTTAACAAGTTAATAGGTGAAACAAGAATTTTGATATTCATTGATTACAGTTTTTTATTATCTGCAGCTTGCAGAAAACCAGAAACAA